AAGTATAGCGTGCTACACCAAGCAAACCAATCACTGATGTAATTTTGTACGACGTAAATAAATATAATCATTTTTTAATTAATAAGTACTTATTTATTTTAAGAAGGTAAATAGTGTAAACTGTAGATGGTAATAGAATCATACTAATATATAGAGGCAGTGTTTGTTTGTTTATTTGAACGCACTAATCTCAGGAACTACAAATCCGATTTGAAAAATTCTATTTGTATTAGATAGCCCGTTGATTGAAGAAAGTTATAGACATATAAGACATACAACATATTATACATATGTCTGTTCCATACATAAAAGCGTACCTAGGAACGACACCGAGCAAAGCAAGGGTGAGTCGCTAGTCTATATATAAATAGGCAAAAACAAAATATGTCAGTACCATGTTTTTACCAGTTTGTCAACCGTTTTTCTTTTTCTTAGTATCTTATGACGAGATCTAGTGTTATCAATAATTTGGAAATAGTTTTATTTTTAAATATAAGTAAGTTAATTCTACTTATACTCGTATATGTGTTCCTCAAATTTTCGACTGCTGGACGAATACTTTAAAGGAATTGTTTGACGAAAAATACTAATAATAAGCAAGAATATTCTCGAGTAAATTAGGTATCTGATAGGTAATTGAATGTTAAGTGAAGTCATTGTTAAAAATACAAAATCAGGAAAAAAACATCCAAATAAATGACCAACGTCATATACAAATATTCACATCCATTGTTAAATTATTATAATTATTATAAATTACAAAATTTTCCAGTCTTTTAAAAAACAATAATGAGATAAGTGTTGTGTTAATATCAACGCGCACAAATTGTCAGTCATTCTGAGGTATTACTTATAATATATGCTATTATCTTTAAAATGTTATCAGTTTTTGTTTTGTTTGAATCTACCTAACGTTCTTTTAATGTTACTTAATGCCCGATTATTACGGATGCAGCGAATACGATTCCCGGTCGAGGTAATATTTGGTTTTAGGTTAAATGTGAAGGTGAGGCACGATGGCTAATTATGGCGGAAAATTTTAAATTAAATACAAGGTTATAGCTTAATTAATTAACATGTAATAGAATTAAATTTAAGGCTATAAAATTTTAAATAAAAGTATCCACTCAATGAATATGTACGTACATATTACTACGTATTACTTACTCTCTCTCTCTCTCTCTATATTAGTTGGAAATTTTTATGGCAAAGGACTGACTCCAAAAAAATATAATTTTAGCTGTTTATGAGTTTTTATGATTAATTTTATCAAATGACGCTTTTGATTTTATTTTTTAATATATATTTTTAAGATTTCTTAGGCAGTTCTCAAGAACAGTGTATTTAAATTTAGTTTATGTTACAATTTTATTTGTAGCTGTATTTTTCTTTACATTATCTTCTTACTTACCTGACATACTTTGCTTTGTCCAAATTTAAATTAATATACTTGTTATACTTGAGTTGAAATAAAAATCCTATATAAAATAATAATTTTAGTTTTTCCACAATTACCTAATATTCTGGGCATCTTTTACAATTTTTCTTAATGTTTTTTAACCTTTATATATTAGGCTATTAGGATTATATAAAAAATAAACAAGTAGGTAGATAAATCGATCCAACCGAACTCATGTGTTGCGAACAAACGTTTATGTTTTAACGTTTAGTAAATATAGATTTCTCAGAAATGAGATATTTACTTGCAGTAAAAAGTATTCTATATGTTGACCCGGATAACCAACTATCATCAAACCAAATTTCATCAAAATCTATCTAGTGGTTTTCCCGTGATGCGGTAACAGACAGACAGACAAAAATTCTAGAAACTATAGATGCGGTCTCTTTATCGATAATATTTAATGTACAGATTCGGCTTAGATATATAGATATATGTAAGAAGTAACAAAAATAACAATATAAAAACAATTGCATAACATTTGATGGGTCAAGGTTACATGCAATAATGATAAAGTCAGTCTTCAAGGATTCCAAGAATACTTCGTCAATAATAACGTAAAACACGTACATATTAAAATTCTTACGTAATTACTGACTAGAGCGTACTGCCACGGTAATGTTATAAATCGTGGTACTGCATAGAATGCGCTCGCGTCTTTGAAACGCAATGGCTCAATAGATAGCCGTTATACCTGTAATTTTGCTTACAGTTTACGAGTGTAACATATTATAAGAAATAATTACCTCGTTTGTCATGCAGTTAACACGAATGGCCAGAGTCCCGATGTGTTGTGGGTTTTTTTTATTAAAAAATCCTCAACAGCAGCCCGAAGTGAGGATGTTGGCGATATTTTAACCCCGTGCCTTGGAAACCACGTAACGCCTTTGGTTCTGAGTCTGATCTTATACAGGTGTCATCGAATTGTCGTCCCACCGAAGTTTGAGAGTGAAAGGAATAGGAAATGTACTTATGTTTGCGCGTATACTTGTATATCTGTATTATAAAAAGGTAAAGTTTGTGAGTTTGTGAGGTTGTACGGGGTAATATCTGGATCTACTGAACCGATTTAGATTAAATTTGGTAAGAAGATAGTTTGAGACCCTGGTAAGGACAAAGAATAGGTACTTTTTATCCCGGAAATCATTCCTGAAGAGGGTGATGATGGAGGTGCAAGTTTGTATGGGGAAGCAACCTAGAGTGAACCCGAGAGAAGCGAGGGTGAGTCGTTAGTGTATTATAATATCTCTTGCGCAGATGTTTCAGCATTTCATTCATGATACATCTCCGCGCAATCGACAGTGTAGAATCGCTGTGTTGGTCGCTGGTTGCTTAGCTGGACCTCCCTCAAAGTAACTGAGGGTCTCACCCGGCTGGGCTGCCCTGAAACCGTTTCCCCCACTGCCCTTGCGGAGATGTGAGATGACTTACTTCTGTAGTCTCAGTGAAATTGACCACCGTTGCCAAAATCGGTCAAGGTTATCATAAAAAAAATAAGTATTTTAATTATGTCAATCTAATTATATGAAAAACGCAACAGTATGCACTGTAATCAATAACAATTACACTCTTGCTAAAAATACCTTTCTGCACCTATCTAATATTATAAATTTTTGTGTTCAATCGTGCATTACTTGAGAAAGATTGTACATATTTCAATTAAAATAAATTTTCCTTTATTGTAAGTACAAGCTTTAATATTTTTAGTTTAAAATATCGATTACTTGTAATCAAATCGATTATATAAACTTAAATATGTAATAAAATGTATGGAATGTGAATATGGCAATAGACTCATTGAGACTAGCCCTCTGCGCAGGAGATGTTATAGAGCACAAGTGTGCGCCCAAACACAAGTGCACTCTCTATTCCTGTCACTCTCCATCTTCAATGGGACGATATCTCAATACGACCGGTGAGTGTTAAGGCGCAGGATTGGCTTTACGTGCTCTCCGAGGCACGGGAGTGAAACCCCGCCAATTTCCCGACTCAGGGCTGTTACTGAGGCTCACTAAACAGAAAGACTCAAAAACTAAACTTGGCCTAATCCGGGACTCAAACCCGGGACCTTCGGATATGCAGCCGTACATGCTAGCCACTGCACCACTAAGGCAGTAAAATATGTATATATGTATGTACGTACAGACTGTATGAACAGAATCTAAAGATCTGATCTTTAAATCCCGATTGAACTCGCTGCCACTCAAAACTTAAGAGTACCTTATGTTTCTAGTAAATTGGACTAAATTGAAATACCAATATAAACAAATTAATGGGTAGAAAATATTATATAAAAAATAAAGACTGAGATAACATTTTCCATAATTCTTTTGAAAAAAAAAGATTAATTTTGCTACAAGTTCTAATAAAATACTTAGATAACTTTATAAGATAAATACGACGTTAGAAAACCGAGATTCTAAAGCAAATCATATTTAGATAGTCTCAGGTACCGTTAAGGCTTGAGCAAGTTTATTTATACTAAATACAAGCCGCCTTCTCTGGCTTTGACGGCTATTTTTAAATTTCAAATTAGAAACTATTATACCCATATTTTATTAACACTTTTCGACCTGTTAGGGGTTTGCATATAAAAACAAGAAATATTTCTACATGCTATTGTACCTGTTGTAAAAATTTCAATCCATAAAAAAAAAGATTCTGACGAATCGAGAACCTCCTCCTTTTTGAAAGTCGGTTAAAAAGTAACAGTTCAGTAAGTAGTACAAAAGTCAAACTTGATGTGATTTTAAGACTTTCTTAGATTTACTAGAATATTTCATGTTTTAAGTAAAACTATATTTTTTTCGGATTTATTCGCAGATTTATTTTGATGTTTGGTTCCCGACGTTTCGAATGGTTTACATGCCCCTCTCCCATGAGCATGATTGCTGTAAAGCATTCAAACGTCGGGAGCCAAAAATCAAAATAAATCGGCGAAAAAATCCGCAAACATAGTTTTATTTGATGTGATTTTATTGTAAAAACTGTGAATCTATTTTATTCAAGTGTCGCTCGCGTTCGTTCTTCATACATAATTTTTAGGTAAATCTTTTTGATAGACGTATTTTAACCAAAACAAACAGTGACCAATGACTTTAAAATACAAGATGGTTAACAGCAAGACGTGCATTATATATTAGATGATTTCATCTAAATATCAATGTTTTATTCATGTTATACTCAATATCAGAGCAATTATAACGTAAAGAAAAAAATGTCTTATGCAGCCAATTATCGTCGTTGCATCGTAGCTCAGATTTAATATCTCATGACTATTTATTGATGGCAGACTAAGTGAAATATACCAAGTGCTTCATTGTAGCCTTCTACACCAAGGTTACAAGTTTGATTAAAACATAAAATTATTTGTATTGATCATATAGACCTTTGTCCTGGCCCTCTTAATATAAAATATGACTTTATAAGTATTAGACCCAACAACAAAATTCATTTATCAGTTCAGCCCTTCTATGTTCAGCTATTCTTACCATTAAATGGATAAACAGAAATTAGCTAAAACTATTTATTTTCATTTCAGACAGTCAGACGGGTGATTGAAGTCATCAAAACTCAAATATGCACGATAGCAATATCATTCACACTATTCAACACGGTGCGGTTACCAAGAGAGGCCTTCAAATATGGAGAAGTACCGTACCTGGTCATCTACTCGTTTTGGCTACTTGTGGTTGCTTTACCCACAACGCTATTACAATTGGCTATGGGACAACTAAGCCAGCAGGATGCGGTTGGAGTATGGAGAGCTGTGCCTATTTTACGTGGTGGGTACGAACACTTAATTTTACCAAATTAATATAATTTTAATAGCCCAAAATACATTTTTTTTCTATTAATACGCTGTTTTCTAGTTTTTTTTTCAGTTTAGTATAGTATTCCATTTTATTTAATTCCTTAGATTGGCAGTCTAAATAGAAGTCATTTTTTTCTTATAAAGAAAAACTGTTAGTATTCACTCAATAAATAGTACTTGGGTTTTACCTCTCATACATGGTAAATGTGCTACAGTTACATTAACAGATAAATAAAATTCTTCACATTTTTTGTTTATCAATTTAAAAAAAATAGTCATTTTTTATCTCACGCTGTTATTTTCATTTCAGGAGTCGGTCATTTGAAAATCCTGACATCATTTCTGTGCTGTGTCTACAGCTTGGTGTACACCTCGTTATCCGCAGCTTATATGATATGGATTGGGAAAGGAACATTCCCTTTAAAGGATTGCACCAAAGTTCATATAACTCCGGTATTTACATTGCAATATTATTTACTATAAGATATAAATATTCTAACATTTGATAATGGTGCAATAACATTACATAAGTATCTTCTCATATTGACTTTTAGTACTAGATTATTTTGTTATATATAATTTTATTTAAGGCTAGATAGTGAAATATGATTTGAAATCAAAAGGGTTTTTTTTAATTAACATGAAAATCTTACTAATATTACCTATAAATGTGAAAGTTTAGATGTTTGGATTTTTGGATGCTCGTTACTCAATCACGTCAGAATGGCTGACCGGATTTGGATGAAATTTGGCACAGAGATAGATTATAGTCTGGAATTTTTATCCCGGAAAATGTACGATTCCTGTTTTTGTTTTTATTTTTCGTATAATATTATATTTCCGACACGAATATCTTCCCTACAAAAATATAAAAAAATGATTAAAAAAATGTATAATCGAAAATGTTGCCTCCTGAATAATATAAAAATATTTTTATAAAGTTTTTTTAAATATATTATTTCTCCATTGCGTTTCCTTTCAATTTTCAGAATGGTTACGAAAACAAAATGAATGCATCCGAATGTTTTAAGTAAGTAGCTACACATATCAAATATTTTATACTACCAAATAACCTACACAGTGGACAAAAATATGCATTTAGTGTTTAAAATTATCTTATTAAATAAACTTTGAATATTTTAAACTTAGTTTTTTGTTATTGGAAATGTCATATTGATTTATTAAATATTACAAAAAAGAGTTTTTTTCTCTATAGTCGATATTAAAAAATAATTTTAACTATTTAAGTACCTAAATGAATTTCCAGTGCATGACTGTAACTGCTTTTAATCCTGCGCCTGAGGTTTTATTTCGAGCAATTGCCAGCTTGAGTGTCCAATGTATTTGCTAATTCAATTTAAACCATATCACATGGACATAAATTTCACTTTCGCATACACAAAAATGTCAATTGAAATGTTTTTAACAGTTATAAACAAGTGGTAATTGGAATAAAAATATATCACATTAACAATTTCAGCTCGACGTTTTTGGCGCCATTCACTGAACAACCACAGTATCTCGGTATAATGGCGATTTTAATATTCGTTTTATGGTTCTTTGTGCCCATTATGTAAGTATTCATTTCACTATTACAACGTTTTCATAAACAGAGTCTGACAATTTACTGCATATTATCATTTTAATGCTTATAATTAGTGTCGTGCGAAAACTGGTTCACTGTTTGGATGTTTAAAGTAACTGTGTTAATGGGTAGGAAATTTTAAAAGTTCGCAGAGTAGTTTGGTCTATATCCAATAAATAAGTTATTGTTTGTTTCTTTTCGCCCTTATCCATCGAAATTGAGCGACTGATGACTTGATTTTTTGTATGCAGATAGATTACATTAGTTATTTTTAACGCGAGAAAATATATCATGTCTACAGAAATAATCCTCCTCCTCCTATAATTCTGGGTAGTTCAAATGGAGCGTGAAAAAGCACCTTTGTAGGCTGACGAGGTGAGGTTGTTCGGTGCCGAGATTTTGTCTTGGAACCGATGGATCTCATTCCTGGATTCCATTGTCGCTTAACATCAGGCGGCATGGAGTTATCTTGTCGAGCGTAAATAAAAAAAGCTAATCATGAGTATAATACATGCGAAAGGGACGCTCTGTGTTACTAGTAGTTTAGTTTTCACCACGTGACTCTGTTACTCATTTCGAAAACCTCCTTTTTACTGTCTCAAAAATCCTTTTTACCGGTGGTAGGACTCTGTCAAGCCTGAGGAGTCCGACTGGATGGTTACCGTCCCCTTATCTATTTCTCCCGCCAAGCAACAATGATTCCATTGTTGTGTTCCGGTTTGAAGGATAAGGTAGCCAGCGCAATTACAGGCAAGAGGCATATTATCTTAGTCCTCACAGTGGTAACCTACCGGCGGTTCTGCAGTTTTGTTATGTAAAACCTAAGTGCTGAACCGTAGGTGTTTTGGGCGACATGTACCGCTTTTCATCAGGTGTGCTGTCTGCTCGCTTATCACTGAGTACCATAAAAATACTCTCTCACTCATCTTAAAAACTTTAACCTCTTTTTGAGATTGTAGGGTAGTAAGAAATTTTTACAGCTTATTAGATATGGTACAGTGAATTCACAACATTTCGTTTATTTATTTGGTTTATCAAGTTATACACAATACACGATTATATACACATACAATGATATTTTACAGTTTGCAACTTATAATATATATAATTTCGATTTGTCTTTTGAAATAACTTCATATCTTCACACAAACTTTTTAAGCCTCTTTACATTAACAATTCACTAGTAATCTATACATATATATGCATAGTAAAATTCTGAGTCGAATCTGTCCATTAAATATTTTTTTGGAAAATTTTATTGAAATAGTCATTATTATCGATACAGATGCTGACTTTATAGTTTTTAGATTTTTTTGTGTCTGTCTGGAAACACATCACAAGTAAACCTGGTTATCCAGATCAACATATACGATGCTTTTTACTAAGGGAAGATATCTATCTCATCTCTGAGAAATCTATACTAAAGTTGAAAATCGTATCTAGGGACGAATCCGAGCGGAGCGAGGGTGAGTCGCTCGTATGTATATAATTTCAATAGAATTTTTAAAGTTCAAATGAAATAGAACAATTATTTAAAATATTTTGAACGTGCATTGAATTATTATATTTTAATAATCCTTTCATAATGAACGTGACTATTTTCGTTCAATTGACCGCAAATTTTGTCGCTAATAGGCAACCCTCCTAAATGGCTTCATTAACTATTTTGGACAAAAGACTTAAATGCCTTAATCGACACACTCATTTCGATGTCCGCTCTCAGATTGCTGTTAATTGGTAACATTTTGTATAAAATAATATTTCATTACATATTAGCTACAATTTTAAATTTTTTATTTTTAAACTAAAGCACCTTTCATTATTATAAACACTTATTATGACTAAATATGAGTAAATTGTTTCTAGGGTAGTAAGTATAAGTAGCCTTGACTCGAAAAATATAAGGATATCTACGAATACATTTCTATACTAATATAATAAAGAGGTAAAGTTTGTGAGATAGTGAGTTTCTGACTTTGTGACGTTGTAGGGGGTACTCTCTGTATCTATTGAACCAAATTAGATGAAATTTAGTAAAAAGATAGTTTGAGACCCTGGAAAGGACATAGGATACTTTTTATCCTGGAAATCATCCTTTAAGAGGTTGAAAATGGGGATGAATGTTTGTATAGGGAATCAATCGAGAGAAGCGAGAATGAGTCGCTAGTATTTAATATTAATAATACTGATAATATAAAAACTCAGGTTTGTTTTTATTATTAACAGTAGCTTATGTTATTCAAGTAGCCTATCTGTGTACGAAATCTCATCGAAATCTGCCCAACCGTTTCAGCGTGGAGGATTCAAAATCATCTATACTAATATTATCAAGAGATCTACTGAACCGATTTAGATGAAATTTGGTAAGAAGATAGTTTAAGATCCTGGGAAGAATATATAATACTTTTTATCTCGGAAATCATCCCTTAAGGGCGAGAAAATTGGGATGTAAGTTTGTATAGGGAATCAATCGAGCGAAGCGAGAATGTGTCGCTAGTATACATATACAATACATGCGTAGATTTTTATCATTGAATTCAATTTCAAAATTATCATTTTAGGTTGTATCGCCTTCGGACGACCCTGAGGATCTCCCTGATCGTGCTAACGCCTCTCATCATCACTATAGCCGTAGTGCTATGTATATTCCTATCAGATATACGTATACTATCAAATATGTTAGAATCTTGTGAACATTGGATGCCTTTAACCCAACCGTACATGTGGCACAGTGCATTGGTACAGGCGTTATTATCTACTCAGATAGTTAGTGGATACTTAGTAAGCGCTGGTGGTACTGTTTACAGAGAATCTGACGTTCGATGGTAAGTTTTGAGTTTTTAAGTTAGTTTTTTAGTTAGTTTTAACCTAAGTTTAAAGTTTAAATAACCTTAGGCAATGTAAATCAAGTTTTATGTATATAAAGTAACATTTTATACTAAATATGGAACCCCTTAAAAGTACAGAAGTAAAAGAACATTTATATTTTTTTCAGTAAGAACCAAAAAACAATTAAGTATGTGTACTCATTTATAATTTTATTACACAAATAAGCAAAGAATAAAATTAAATACACGTTTTGTGATTTATCTCCAATATTTCCATATTTTCTTTAATTAGTAGATATACCATTTGACGACACATTGTGCTCAGTTTGTAGTAACCCTCCTTGCTGTGCCAGCGATCGCGAGTTCGAGTCCCGCTGGGGGCATTTATTAGTATTATGAACACGAATCTTTGTAGTCCAGTCATGAATGTTTATATTTATAATATGTATGTATTTAAAGTTGTATATGTGTAGTGTATCAACTATCCAGTATCCATAACACAAGCCTCGTAACTTACAATGGAACTAGATGGTGCTGTGTTATAATGTCCCAACATATTTATATTTATTTACCATTTAAAAAATATTGTCAATCATAATGTTGCCCATATAAGTTCTACTTCATGAGCTCACTTTCTATTCTTATTCCAGGACATCAACTTTTATATCAATGACTAATCTATTAACCGGCTGGTTATCAGTATTTATGTGGCAGTCGATTGGCGGCGAAGAAACAAAAGATAATAGTTTTATTGCAATTTTAGTATTAATTTATCAGTCTTCTATATCAGAGAAGAGATCAAAGGAATGGCCACTGCTTGCGTTTGCTATAGTGTTTATATCTGGTATAATTACAGTGGTGAGTTCATTTTTATTTTAAGATAGTAGTGAAATATAGTGATATATTACATATATATTTACATACTGATGTACGTTATGTAAATATTGTATATTCATATAAAAAACAGTGGTCAGTGGTAGAGCAATGGTAACGCGTTCGTTTGGGAAACCGAGTAAAGCGGATTCTTATCCAGGGTTTCACACCTCTGATTTCCAACATGGTTACTACTTGCGGTGAAGTCTTGCGGTGAAGGGAACATCGTGAGGGAACTTGAACGTTTGAGAGAACCTAGCAAGTTTTCAAAAATAATCATAAAGTCGCGCCAAGTACAGAGTCCGTCAGGATTACATGGTGTAGCGTGGTTGACTATATAGCCTGTACCCAGCAGTGGGATGTTAAAAAGGGCTGAATACGTATTATATTCAGCCCTTTTTAATATCCCAGTGAAAAATTAAAAAAAAAATTAAAACACATAAGCAGCTGTTAGCTTTGGCAGCTCTTCATAACAGAACTACATTCTGAGCATGCTATAAACATCATAATTAAATTTTAAAATGGATCATTCAACTAAAATTAATTTTGATTTAGAAATTAAATATGATTTTTTATGAACCGAATCACAATATTTGCTTTTCGATTTGTTTATTTTCGATAGTCGTTGCAGCCGTTTTCCATAAATTTATATAGAGTAATATCCGTGTAAGTTCAATTTAAAATCAACATTTTATATAGCGAGGGTTATAAAATTTAAAATAGAGTTTGTCATTTTTAATGCTTTCAGTAACGAGAATATAAAACAGGTTAAAAGAACAAGTTAATGCACGTTTAAATCCTTAATTTAGTTAACACCACGAGGCACTCGTGTTTTTTAAATTTAAAAGCGAATTTTTTGGTACACAAATTTCTACAAGTATTTACCGAGCTGGGTTAATCTTAGAACTATAATTTTAGATAAATGGTATTCATGAGAATACTTTGTGCCAGCTGCAACCGTACTCGGTCACCTTATTAAAATTTGCATATAATCTGAATTCCCTGCCAACTCAATTACTATCCAATTTTATACGATTGAAATAAAATTATTACTTGTGGCCGGTCACAATATTGCCGCCAAGAAATAAATATGGCATTACGAGAAATGTGGGGAAATGGATTTTTGTTATATCTGTGTGTTGCTGTGGTGGTTTTCTATTGTACTGAGTGGTAGTGTCTGCGATGTGATGTGAGTTCAATCCTGAGTAGGATTAAAGATTAAAAAGGATAAAAGATTTTTATTGAACATAACGATATATATTTAGTACTACCATACTAGACTAATAATATTACATACAGTTTTTTAATGGACTGTAACAGTAAAATATAATGGAAAAACTATTATATTTATATAATAACATTAAAAAATAAATTTATAAATGTATTTCTTTTAAAATATTTAAAATTACTTTAAGAACGGATTTAGAGTATTTTTGCAGGCAGGATGACAGTACTTAAAATTCTATTTGTCTCTTTCTACCACTGAAATAAAGTTTTTTCATAAAGAAAAAAAGTGATATCTATGTGTTTACTAGTTTACTTAGATCATATCTATTTTGACTAACTTCTAAAATAAAAAAAAATGGGCTTAATTTGGTATGTTTTTGTGTATGTATGTTACGCGATACCTCTTAATGTGAACCGATTTGATTGATTAACAAACTTTCTTTTCTTTAACGGGTGGTCTCCTTTAATTTTTATAAAATGTTTTACTTGTAAGATAATTTTGAAATTGGTAACCCTAATAAATAAAAAAATAATTAACATTACAGCTTACACTGTTGTACCCTGTGTATGACAAGTTGCATCGTATAGCTGGTGATCATTGGCGAGTATTTGCCTGTGCTCTATCTGCCCTGGGTACGGCCTTGACTGTGACTGTGCTAGCACAAGGCATGGGTATAGCAGCACTGTTGGACGAATTGGTTGTTCCGGTCTTAGCAGTATTTACTACCGTGGTCGAAATTGTTGGATTCGTTTTTATTTATGGTAAGATATATAAAAGAATGGTTCATCGTTCATTACAGAATTTTGGTTTTCATGCAAATGGTACTTGATGCTAGGATATTAGCTCTAATGATTTTTTTCTTAATATGAGATATATCAGCGTTTTTGTGATTAGAGTAATATGACAATGATAATAAATCGAAAGAACTAGAATCGATTATCGTTCGATGTAAATGTTTTGTTTTGAGTTTATATATCTTTATCTTGGCAGAGTATAAAAGTTTTGAACCGCCTAAAAGAAAATAACTTAATAATTCAATATCCGTTTTTTTGTAGCAAAATCATAATAAATGTAACTTATTTTTTTAATATTATTACAAATAATTTTTATACTAATTAATGAACTTAAATTCATTTGTTAAATTCAACAAGAAAAATTAATATGCGCATTATTTATTGTTAGGGATGGTAGGACGTTAGAAATCGAATTACCGGCAGATCTTTGATGTTTCAATAAGTACTGCTAATTGAATTAAAACTTGCCGCAGTTGACCATTGGGGTCAGCTCAAATGAACAATTGTAATCAATTTATGTAAGCGCCGGAGTTTTAACTGGAAGTCCATTGGGGTCAAGCTGGTTCCTCTAAAGCTAAAAAATAAATATAGAAATGTGCTATTTACTCGATCAATAACAGAATTTGCAATGATGCCTTTAAAATATTGCGAATGTTGCCAATTCATTTGACTTTTCAGTAAATTGCCTAAAATTTTTGAAACTAGAACAAAGATTGTAGTTCTTTTTCCAGATTTTTCAGAACTAATATTTTGAACAAACTAACGAACGAAACAAAAAGTTTTTTTTGTCCCAATAATAAATAATAATATTAATTTAATCATTAATATAGGGGCCCTTCGAGAGTAGTGTCCTCAGGTCCCTTAAAGGCCAGCAATGCATTCGCAACTCCTTTTGTATTGCAGATGTCGATGATAGACGATAACCACTAACCATCAAGTGAATCGTTTGCTCGTTTGCTCCTTTTACTTAAAAAAAGTCCTTATAGCGTGAAGATAATACAAACCCACGTACTCGCAAGCTTTTATATTATTTACAATATTATTTTATTGTACTGAAAATATAAAATTATTATTTTCAGGGTGGTTCTACCTTACTGTTGACATATATTTCGTAACAGGATCAAGGCTGCCATGTTTTTGGTTGGTAACCTGGTGGTCTACGCCAGTAGTGTTAATGGGGGTGACAGGGTGGTGGTTAAGGGCTCTGCTCAGGAGTTCTTGGGGAGAAAGCCAAACATTATGGCCTTTGGGAGGGGTGTTTTTGGGGATATTAGTCGTTATGATCATTATGGCAGCAGTCGCCGTGGCGAAGGAGGAACAGTATAATTTCTTGACCGTACGTATAAATTATATACTAATCAAATTTTTGTAATACTCTCTTAGATTTACGCAAAAGTTAGAAATTTTAAATAAAACTATCTCCTTGGGTTTTTTATAGTTTTATTATGATGTTTGGTTCCCGATGTTTCGAATGCTTTACAGCAAACAAGGTCACGGGATAGTTGAAGGCTCCGAAAAAATATAAAAAGAAAAAGTTTTAATTACATAAGTCTTGATAATTTAGTCTTAACTATGGCTTGATAATAAATAATAATTTAAAACATTATTTTTAAAATACATAAATAGGTAGGTGTTAAGCTAATATTTCTTCAAGAAATTTACAAAATAAACTTTTAGTTTTGTAAAGGATAAAGTTTTATAAAATAATCGTTTCAGAAAATTGCATCAGCGTTCCGGCCTTCTCGACTCTGGGGTCCAGAAGAACCAATGGCAAGATACGTCTGGATGTCCCAACGATTTGCAAACGAAAACGCTAACTCTGAACAAGAGTTTACCCATGACACGAAAATGTTTAATCATATAATGTCCAAATATCAGGAAAAAAGTAACAAAATATATGAAGAAGATTGGTTGCATGCAACGGATACTTACCAAAGTTCACCAAAAGTGTATAAAAAAAGTGATTTTATAAAAAATGACGATACGTTGTACGATGATGGAGCAATATATGCTATCCCAACACCATCGACTAAGAAAAAAAAAGTAGACGAACAATTTCGTTCCCCAAACATTTGTATAGCCAAAGGAGAATTAGGTGGAGCTCTTAATTGTAGTTGCAACAGGCATTTTCAGCTAAACGTGCCTGATTTAAGAAATAACGAAGTATCGACTAGTCTATAAATACGAATAACGTGCAACGATAGTTATCTAGTCGCATAACAAATAATTTATCTGTTATTCAATTTACATCTCATTTTCTAGTATTACTTTACATTCCAAATATTATTAATAGTATAAGTTATAATTTATGTCATGACCTTATATACATAATCTTTATAAAGTATGAATATACAAACCAACAAAAGGTACTTGTATATTTCTATAACTGTCTAAACTTGAAATATTTTTCCTTCTATCGCCTTTGATCAGCGTGCGTTGTTGTACAGAGTATATAAGTTATTTATAATTGAAACAAAGCCAATTAAATAAATTAATTAATAACTATATTATTGTTTTATTACGTTCCAACACGAATAACTGAGAAAACTCAGAATTGTATTCAGCTCTTTTTAACGTCCCACTGCTGGGCACGGGCCTCCCTTCAGCACGAGGGGACACAGGCCATAGTCCACCACGCTGGCCAAGTGCGAGTTGGCGGACTTCACATGTCTTTTTGAAAACTTGCTAGGTTCTCTCAGACATGCAGGTTTCCTCATGTTGTTTTCCTTCACCGTTAAGACAAGTGGTAATCATGTTGGAAATGATTCGCACATGAAAATATCAGAGGTGCGAGACCCGGGATTTGAACTCACTTCATTCGGTTTCCCAAGCGAGCGCGTTACCACTGGGCTACCACTGCCTAGAATCAGAATTATATTTTCTTTATTATAATATTTTACTATATACTTCAATAACACTGCTATAATAAATAAGAATTTTTGTGTGAGTGTGTGATAGACACAGAGACTATGACCTGAATAGTTACATAGTTATTGTATATGTTAAAATGAACCAAACTTATTGCACTTTAAGCAAGAAAGGTTTTCTTCTATTTTAAAAACAAAGCCTTATTTCTAAGATTTATTTACATAATATATACATAAAATACATATTTTCGCCTTTATTAAAATAAAATGTGCATATTATATGATTAGAATTGACATTTCAAAGTTAATAATTCTGTACTAAAAACTCTTTCGATAAATTGGTCGTTTGAACAATTATGCGATGAGACGATGTAGTACCGTCAGTAATAAAATTCGCCAAAAGATGGCGCTGGTCGTATATAATATTATAATTACAAAATACATCAAATGACGCATCACGAGCAAAGCGAGGGTAAATCACTAGTATGCTTATGAAGAATATAAAAAAATTTACTCGCGTAAGGAATCAAACTAACGAAAACCTGTTAGGCACTATACTCCGTTGTGGTGGCCTATTTTCAGCATGTTGTAATAAATAAGAAAAGTTGTTGAAGTCACCATGACGCTGGCTAAACGAGTTTAAAATTTTGCTAAGACTTTGACGTAAAAATTACTTATTATTTTGAAAAGGGTCCGCCAAAGAAATTTAGTTTAAGATATAAAGAGGGGAAAATGATAATCGTTCACGCAATGAGCAGCCGTTGTTGGGTAAATGAAAAATGAAGAAAGTTTTTAACATAAATCTTAGAAAATGTCTAAAACGTATTACTTGTGAGACCTTCTCTTGTGTGCTGTTTTGAAGTTACGAGGATAACGGAACAATACTTATTTTTATAAATGTATTTAATATTTTTAATTGATCATAACAATGAAAATATTTCTGTAAAATGATATATTTTAATTTTTTATTTTGATAAATAATAAAAATACAATTAAATAAATTTAAAGATATTTAACGGTTATACCCATGACCAAGGCGCTTGTAACAGTGTCGAAATATCGGGAACTCAAACGTAAATAATAAACATGGTAAATAAGTAAGTATCTCGTTTTTCATCACAATAATATTGTCATAATGAAAGCTTTAAGGTCTTGTTACAAAATAACATAAAAAACGTATCTAGAAATTAAAACCACATATTAGATATTTGGTAAGTCCTATATTTTTCTTCTAAAATGTCACGTGTTCTATCAAATTTTATAATAAAACTAGCGACTCACTCTCGGGTTCGTCCCTACGACGCGTCATTTCATTTTAACTTTTAGTATAGATTTTTCAGAGATGTAATTTTATCCTGCTGTAAAAAGTATCCTATATGTTGACCTGGATAACCAACTATCATCATACCAAACATTAAAATCTATCTAGTGGTTTTCTCGTTATGCGTTCACAGACAGACAGACAAACAGACAGACAATATCGATAATAATGACTATTTCAATAAGATATTCCAAAAAATATTTAATGTACAGATGCGACTCATAATTTTATTATATGTACATATATAATAGACATAGATAGAATAAAATAAGCAACAACTTACAGAAAAGTAATTTTAACAAAAATTTCTTAATAACACTGTATAACCTTTAGTACACGAGGGGACAGTTTTAATCATCCATCGATTGTTCTAGTAAATTACTATCCGATAAAGTTGCATCCCCCGGGATTAATTTCTCCCGACATTACAGATTCTGATCAACGGTGCCCTAGTGAGACAAATTATGTAATTTGTTCAACGTCGTAAGAAAAATCGCCATGCCTTTATGAGATAAAGTAGGCAATAGGATATTGCTCATAGATTTAATGTATATTATGTATGTATATATATATACATTATGTATATATATATACATCTTTACACACATATAAATGAAATTGAAGTGTCTATATAAGATTTCAAAATTACTGTGTTTTATCAAGTTTTTTATATGATACGAGTTGGTACCTAAACAACTCTTTTTAAAATGTTTGTCTGTCTGTCTTTCTGTTTGTCTGTGGTAATCCTTGGAACAGCTTAACCGATTGTAATGAGAGTTTCGCTGGAAGATACAGGAGTTTGTAGGGCTATATATAGGGTATGTTTTGTTAAGGAAAAATATAGGGTTCCAGCGCGAAAATCGAAAACGCTTAAAAATTATCCAAAATTCAAATGAACAATATTATGAATGCGATGAATGCGGTAAAAATACAATTGAAATATTACCCAGGGATGCACCTGAGCGAAGCGAGGCTCAGTCACTTATATATAAAAAAACCGGTGTGCGTGTGTTCGTAATTTCTCTCCTAAATAGCTTAACCAAATTTAGTGAAATTTTGTTTATATCTGGATGTTACTTAGTTCAGTCGAGACCGGTAGGCGGGCGCTGTTGTTGAGATCCCTATTTATTTTTAATTTTCCATCCAAAAGGTCTGTGATCTGCCTACTGGTATCGCTAGTATTATATTATGCTATGACCCCTTTTATATTTAAAGCATTTTTGCAAAAAGATTTTATATGTTTTATCTGAAAAAATATGAGCTATGCCCAAGTTAAACTATCTAATTTTACAGTTTACTGACATAAACCAAATGCTAATTAACAACCAAATCTATCCGTTCCTCGAATTGAGGCGGCAATATCTGTGATTAATAACATCATATACATATGTTAATTTTACGGTACAATAGTAAAAACGTAATAAACAGACTCACAGAGAAATAAACTTATTTCTAATATAAATTTGCTGATTTTTCATAGATAGGTACTATCCAATATAAAAAATTCTAAGCGGTAATCGCTAAGCTCTTAAGAAAAAGAAAAAACAACGATGTTTGATATTACTTTTTCCATTTATTTGCACAAAACCGGTTACTTGGATAAATCCACAAAATACAGGCTTACTATAAAGAATCTGGTATAATAAAGGAAAAATACGAAATATTGTTTTGGGAACGTTTTATCAGATATGAGATTAACCGCTATGCATTTTAATATTAATTTATTTTTGTTTTTGTGTTCTAAAAGGTCTTATTAATTTTATTATTTTGACCAATTAAGTACAAAAAAGTAGAATTATTCAACTCGCATTTATTTTTTTGTGTGTGATTTTCGTTTTTTTTTATTTAATTGTTGAAAATAAAGGGAGACAGAAAAACAAGAGTAAATATAAGGGTAGGATAGTTAATTTTAAAAGTGATTTTTAAGTGGATATCTTTTTTTAATAAAAAAAATAATTAATATATATATATATATATATATATATATATATATATATATATATATATATATTAAGTTAATTATTTAAATGCTTTACTTTCACATTAATTAAAAGAAACATTAAATTTCGCTGAATATCGAACACAACACAGGAAGTATTAATTAATTCCTGTTATACTGTGAATAATTTATACGGTTTTAACATAATATAATATTACTATCAGAACCCGCGGCTTCGCTTGCGTTCAATCTACAGAAAAAACTCTTTTGCTTTATATGTATTTATTATTGTATTAAATTATTTGGGTATTTTTCATACAAAAATACTAAAATTGCAATAAAAAATTTGGGGCTGGGGGTAGGAGGATGAAAAATACTTTACGATCTATTCTCATACCTACCAAATACACAAAATAAATGTTATTAAAATCGGTAGAGCCGTTTCGGAGGAGTGCGACCACAAACACCGTAACACGAGATATTTATATATTAACTGTACATAATATATATTTTATTACATTTCACTCGTTTCTAATTATAACCAGAGTACTGTTATGTATGCTATATATGTGAAAGTTTATATGTGTATATACATATATGTGTGTATGTATTAACTGCCTCGGTGGTGTAGTGGCTAGCATGTACGGCTGCACAACCGGAGGTCCTGGGTTCGAGTCTCGGGTCGGGCCAAGTTTAGTTATTGAGTCTTTCTGTAAAGTAAGCCTCAGTAATAGCCCGAAGTCGGGAAGTTGGCGGTGTTTCACCCCCGTGCCTCGGAGAGCACGTAAAGCCGTCGGTCCTGCGCCTTAACTCTCGCCGGTCGTGTTGAGTGGTCGTCCCACCAGAGTATGAGAGTGAGAGGAATAGAGAGTGCATTTGTGTCTGCGCGTACACTTGTGGCTGGGTACTACCATCGTCATGGGATCCTGTTATTAATATAATAAAATCAAATAATAAATATAAACATAACAGACAGGTAGATGTACTAAGTTCTTACTGTGTAGATCAAAATGACAGCATATCAGATTAATATTTTTCATTTTTTTAATTT